CAGCCATCACCAGTATTTGTAAAACTTTTCTGTCACCCCAAACAGAAACTTTGTACCCATTAAGCGGTTAATCCCCATTCACTTCTCCTCCCAGCTTCCAGTAACCTCTAATCTGTTTTCTGTTTCTATGAATTGACCTATTCTAGATATTTCGTATGAGTGGAATCATATATTTGTCCTTTCGTGTTTGTCTTATTTCACTTAGCTTAATGTTTTCAAGACTTATCCATGTGGTGGCATGTGTCAGAACTTCATCCCTTTTTATGGCTGAATAATATTCTGTTGCGTGTATTGATCACATTTTGTTTATCCATTCGTCTGTTGTTGGGTTGGTTCCACCTTTTGGCTATTGTGCATAATGCTGCAGTGACCATTGGCCTACAAGTATCTGTTTGAGTCCCTGTTTCACTTCCTTTGGGTATGTACCTAAGAATAGTATTAACTGGGTCACATTATATATATAAACATATACATAGAAACATATAATTCTGTGTTTAACTTTTTTATGAATCATCAAACTGTTTTCTACATTGGCTGCACCATTTTGCACTCCCACAGCTTTCTAATTTTGAAGAAGATTTCCCTTACTTTCAGTTTCTTTTTAGAGTGTACTGATTAATTTAGGAAAAAAATCTCCTGAGTTTCTACTCACGTGTCAGGTGCTCTCTTATGATCTTGTTCTCTGGTATGCCAGTACACCGTGAGTAGAAATTAAATGGAGGCAGCATATGGTTCCACTTAAGGAGGAACTTTCTTAGTGAACAATTGGAGAAAAGAATGGCCTGTCTTGGTGTTGTGTGCTCCCCTTCTCTTCTTTCAGGAGGAAACTGGATAGCCATTTCGTTGGGGAGGGAGAGTAGACTTTTAACTAAATTATTGGGTATGTCCTTTTGGGCTCATAGTGTCTATTCAGTTGTGGTAAGGAAACCTGAGAAGAACCTTATTTCACACTCCAGAGTCAGAAGGTGATAATTAGAATAGGCAATAAACTGTTTTCTATTGTTTATAATTTTAAAAACACTTACTGCTATTTTCCAGGTTATGTGCTAGAAGTGTTTCTTGCAGTAGAGGGAGACAGACATGTAAATGGAATAAATTATTATGGGTACCATAATAATGCAACAGACAGTGAGAAGACAAAGGAGAAAATGGCCAGCTCTCTGGAATTGGAGAGGGCTGGGATTGAATGAGCAGAGGAGTCTAGAAAAGAAAGGAAGTGATGCTTGAGATGAGTCTGAAAAGGGAGTGGGTATTCTCTAGGCGTTCAGGGGGCAAGGGTAGTTTGGCATGGCGGGGGGCTGGTCAAGAGCTTGATAGCGCTGTAGCCAGTGCTTCAGTTAGTCTAAAAATCACTTGGCTGGAAGCCAGGGGAAGTAGCGGGGGGAGAGGGAGGCCTCCCTGTGTGCCACACCTAAGGAGCTTGGGTAGGCAGTAGGAGCCGTTGAAGGATTTTACACAACGATTAACATGATGAGATGTCTTTGGCAGCCACGTGGAAGATGGATTGTATGGCGCCAAGACCGGAGAGACCAGTTGAGAAATTATTGCAATAGTTTGTGATGAAGGCCTTGGACTCTGTGGTCTGACTCTACTCACGTGATTAGCTGGATTCCCATTGTTCTCCTCCTTAGTGTCCCCCCTCCCTGTAGTGCTCTTCTTTGTGTAATTATTCTTACTGCTTCTCCTGTGTCAGGGATTCACTTACCTTTCCATCTAAACCGACGTCATTCTTCAATACCCTTTATTAAGATGTCTCTGAGCTTATATAACACGTATAAAATAAGGTATTGATTAACTGCTATGGACCAAAGTAGGTGTTAGGTGGTATGCAAATATTATCTTATTTAATCCTCAAAACTCTCTTCTGAAGGGTTAATGATAATTGTTCCATGTAACAGATAAGACTCTCAGAGGCTGAGTGACATCCTCAGATTTATGTAGCTTTTGATTAGCATCTGATCCAGGTCTCTCTGTCTTCAAAGCCCCTGCTCTGTTCACTAGATCACACTGTCTTCTGTTTGTAAGTTTGTGTGACTGTGCTCTCGTTTACATAGTGTTAATTGTCTCATGTTTGTTTCCTCTTTGTTAGATTGAAATTTTGGATGACAGGGACGATGTTGTTACATCATTTGTGGCTCATCACATATCATATGTTTACCGAGCTTTCTGACTGGTGGTTGTCTAATGACGTATTTGTCAGTGGGCTTTTTCTTATCCTTGTTGCAGATCTCCTTACAACATGCGCTGTACCTTCTGCATCACGGAATGCTTGAGGATGCGAACAGAAATCTCAGCCAGGCAGAGACGTGGAGATACGGTGAAAAGTCATCTTCGCAGGAAGTCTTAATCAATCTTATTCAGGCCTATAACGGGCTTTTGCAGTATTATGCTTGGTCTAAAAAGAAGATGGAATTGTCCCAGCTCGGTGAGTGGATGTGAGTGGACTTTGTCTGGTGGTGATGAGACTGACTCAGAGGGACAGAAGGCTGAAGGGCTCGTCTGATTCCCCGGCTTCCCGGCCTGGCTTCATCCATGTGGTACGGAGAACAGACATTTCTGTTGATGGAAGATTCTTGATCATCCTTTATAATATTTCTGATACATCAAAAGGCTTTTCAGACATAAATTAGATATTCATAAATTAAGTTCATGACCATTTTAGATTTGTTACTTTTTAAAATATGATTTCCGAGAATGGTTACACATTTTCTTTGGTAGGCATTATTACATATGATAAACATGTCTTGCTTTGTGTTTAGAATGGAGTTCAGTTTGCTTTGTAGGGTGGTTTCTCAGAATAGTAATATGTTTAAAGAACAGGGCAAGATAAAGTTGTTTTATTTCTGTCCAAAGGTCATAACAATTCTCTCGATTTACTGACCACACCAAAAATTGACCATGTGTCCTGACTTCTCAAACTGATTCCCTTTCCCTTCCTTTCAGTGGTGATGTCCTCCTCTCCCCCTCTTGTTCTGAGAAGGATTTAATCCACTTTATTTAGAAACATAGGATAAAACAAGTCATTTTAACTGAGAAAAGCAGACAAAAGAATGTAAAAGGAAGGTGATACCAAAAAAGAAGGTAGAACACTAAATAGATACCATGAAATCCTGTTCACCTTCTTGGGATGAGCTACAAATTTAGACTGAAAACCAAAAGGAAAACTATCTACTGTATGATGGGGGAAGCACAGCTGTCCTAGTAGGGAGACTAGAATTAAATAAAATTCACTATAGAGACATTCTCAAGGTGGCTCATAGAGAAGGCACCATAAAAAGTTTCAATAGCATTACAGTAACTTAGGTACTTTGTTCATTCAACAATATTTTTAAAGTACATCCTATGTGCCAGACACTGTTATTAGTGCTAGAAATATGTAGTGAACAGAAATAAGGTCCCTAATTTCATGAAGCTTACATGGGGTCAGATAGAAAATAGACAATAATTTAATAAAATAATACATTTTATGAAAACAATGAAAGCGATGGAATCAGAGAAGGGGAACTTAAGATATGGTAGTCAAAGAAGGCCTCTTTGAAAAGTCGTTTGGACTGAGACCAGTCCAATGAGAAGGAGCCAACTGTTCAAAGATCTGATGTTTCATCTCTGGAGGGAAAAATGATTTGCTTATTTCTCAAAGAAAAATTTTGTCTGTCTACTTTGGAGAATATTTCCGATGCATATCTCTAATACAGCCCAGTCCACTAATGTCACGGGACTGTAAGCTCTCCAGTGACAAGCACTATGTAGTATTCATCTTCGGGTTTCCAACACCATGCACTGTGCTTGGCTTACAGAGGATCTCAATAAATGTTGAATTGAACAAACGAATGAATGAATGAATGGAAATCTGTAATACACTATGCTTGCTTAATAGCCCATTTAATAACTCATGTGGGGACTTAAAAACTAAAGACATGAATTACGTATACATAAAGTGTATGTAGGAATCTGTAAAAACTGGAGGAGGAATAATTAAGTTCCTTATCTAACAAGATTCTTGATGCTCTAGTTAGAAATTGATTCTTTGTAATTAAATTTATATATTACTATCATTAGTCCCCTTATTTCAATACCTGAATTATTTCTTTCTTTCTTTATTTTGGTGAGGAAGATTGGCCCTGAGCTAACATCTGTTGCCAGTATTCCTCTATTTTGTATGTGGGATGCCACCACAGCATAGCTTGATGAGCACTGTGTAGGTCCACGCCCAGGATCCAAATCCGTGAACCCTAGGCCACTGAAGTGGAGTACGCAAACTTAACCATCATGCCACTGGGCCAGCCCTATTTATTTTCAATAGAAAAATAAAAATTCAAAGTAAGTTCTGTTTATCTATTCCTATTTACAAACCACACAAAATTTAGTGGCTTAAAGCAACACCATTTTATTATATCTCATGTTTTTGTGGGTTAGTAGTTTGGGCATTTCTTGGCTGAGTAACCAATAGATGCTCCACGTGGCATCAAGTGGAGTTACTTGGTGCTATTTAACTGGAGGCTAGGGTGGTTCAAGGCTCAAAAGGGCTTCACTCCGCTGATGTCTGGGGTGGGAAGTCTGGAAGCCTAGGCTCAGCTGGACCCCACTCTCTTTCCATACCTTCTTGGGTCCTCTCCACATGATACCTCCAGCAGGGTAGTAAGACTTCTTACGTGATGTCTGGCTGCCCCAAGAGTGAAGCTTCCAAAAGATCAAGATGAAAAATGCAGGGCTACTCCTGATCTAGTTTGGAAGTCACACAGCATCACCTCTGAGGCACTCAAGTCACAGGGCCCACCCTGATATAGGAGAGGAGACTGCACAAAGATATGAATACCAGGAGGTGTGGTTCATTGGGGACCGTAGTGGATTGAGCTGTGTCCCCCAAGAAAAGATATGTCCAAGTCCTAGCACTCAGTCCCTGTAAATACGACTATTTGGAAATAGAATCTTTGCATAGTAATGAAGTTAAAGATCTCAAAAAAAAAAAAAAAAAAAAGGAAAGGGAAATTTGACACACAGAGGGGAAGGAGACGTGAAGACAGAGGCAGACCTTGGGATGATGCAGCTACAAGCCAAGGAACACCAAGGATTACAACTGACAACAACCAGAAGTGAGGAGAGAGTCGTGGAACAGATTCTGCCTCAGAGCCTTCAAAAGGAACCCACCCTGCTGACACCTTGATTTTGGACTTCTGGCCTCCAGAACTGTGACAGAATCCATTTCTGTTGTTTGAAGCCACCTAGTTTGTGACAATTTTTTACAGCAGCCCTAGGAAACTAAAAGAGAAGCAATCTTTGGAGACTAGCTCCTACAAAAGTTTGAAAGTTCTCCAATTTCTTACTTTATATGGATCTTTTATCACGTATACGATAGTCTCATCGATACAGTTCTTTACTCTTGGCTGTACCTCTTTCTTATAGAAGACAGTACAGAGAAAACTAATTATAAAAGTTGTTGTAAGTGCCATATTATTAGCAGATATGAAAAAAGAAAATGATGTGGTTAACTTATTTTTCTTCATAACATCTGTGGAAAGCACTGCTAAAAAGTTCATGCGCACTGTCAAAAATACCTTTGGTGAATATGTATTATTTATATTTTAAAAAAAGGAATATCTTATTTTAACATATAGGCAAAAATTCGGAAGTTCAATAACCCATGGAAAAGAAGAGCTTGAATGAAGAAAATATGGATCAAAAAATTAAAACTATAATAGGTCTTTAGTTTGAAAATATTAGCATATCACTCAGTGAAGCAAACACCCACTTTGCATTTGATCTGGTCCTTCAGTTTGGAAAATCAGTGGAGGACAACATTTTCTTTTCCTCTGTCAACGTTTTATCAGCATTAGCCCTGCTCTGTTCAGTGGCCCAAGAAAACTGCATTCAAAAATGAGTAGCCCGTTTAATTTAATGAAGTCACAGAGAATATTAAAGGAACAACAGATCATGTTGAAAAGTCAGGATATGTGCATCACCAATTTCAAAAGCTTCTGACTGAATTAAAGAAACCCACTGATGCATGTGAACTCAATTTCACCAGCAGGCTCTATAGAGAAATGACATATCAATTTCTTCAGGAAGACTTGGATAATGTTAAGAAATTTTACCTAGCCAGTGTGGATCTGCTGATTTTGTAAATGCTGCAGAAGAAAGTCAAAAGATTAATTCCTGGGTGGAAATCCAAACGAATGAAAAAAAATCCAGGACCTATTTTTTAATGGCTCTCTTAGCAACTCCGTTGTGCTGGTTCTGGTGAATGTAGTCTATTTCAGAGGGCAGTGGGACCAGGAATTTGATAAATACCAAAGAGGGAAATTTTTGGCTGAACAAAGATATGAGCAAATCTGTGCAGATGATGAAACAAAGCAAGTCCTTTAATTTCACCTTCCTGGAGGATGTGCAAGCCAAGATCCTAGAAATATTATACAAAGCAAGCATGAATTTGCTGATCTAAGCATGACTGATCACGCTGATCTGAGCATGATTTTGCTGCTGCCAAATGAAGTAAATGGTCTGCAGAAGCTTGAAGATAAACTCACCACTGAGAAATTAATATCCTGGGCAAGTGCGCAGAATATGAGCAAGAGAGATGTAGATTTGTACTTACTTCAGTTCAGAGTGGAAGAGAGCTATGACCTCGAGGCTATGCTGAGAGCCATGGGGAAGGTGGATGCCTTCAGTCAACAGGACACCGGCTTCTCAGGCATGACCAGGAGCCACGGTGTCAGTGTCTAAATTGTGGAGGTGACTGAGGAAAACATGGAGGCTGCAGCCGTCACTGGCATGGAAATTGTTCCAACATCATTACCAATTTATGAATATTTCCATTGTAATCACCCTTTCCTGTTCTTCATCAACCACAGTAAGACAAACAACATCATTCTCTTTGGCAGAGCCTCTTCGCCGTAGATGCTATTAGCCTGACACTGCTTTTGGGAGAAGTTCAGAGTCGTTCCAGTAAATTGATTGCTAGAAATAACAGGTTCTCTTTGATTCGTTTTCCTTTCCAATCTCATGGTAACCGCTAAGAATTTAAAGGTTGAAATAGCATGTCTGTCTATCTTTCTTACACTAGATAACTAGAGAATGGGGAACTCCTGGGATTTTAGTTGTTTACCGTCTTAATATGAGTCAACAGTTTAATGTGGCTGTAAAGAGCTAATGCGCTTAATAGCATTGTAATGGGCAAAATAAAAGAGAGTGCTCTGCCTGCACCCTGCCCTGATCACACCCCCCCAGAACATTGTGTTCAGTTCTGAGTATCACATTTTAAAAGGTACATCAATTAACAGGAATATATTTGGAAGAGGGCAGCTGGGATAGATTAAAACTATCATTTGAAGGATTGTTGGAAGGACCAGAGACATCTGGCCTAGAGAGCAAAGGCATGGGAGACATCATGACAGCTTTCAATACATGAAAGAATGCCATGTGGAGGATCCTAGAGCTGCTCCACATAGCCTCAGAGGATGGTGGACAGAGGTGCAGAGAGGCAGATTTAGGTGCATCTAATAGTGATGGGTGTTTAGAAACAGGGGGCCCTGCCTTGGGCAGTATTACCTCATCACTGACGGTGTTCAAAACATGTTATTTGGTTATTCATTTGTTGAATAAATGATTCCAAGTTTCTCTGTATCCCTAGTGCATTATATGGTAGGAGACACTCAGTATGAAAATAATTTTAAAAAGAGATCCAAGGATTTCTCAGCAAATAAACAGCGATCTTTTCCCTATACATCATATAAGATTCAATCACTCCATAATATTTAGTGGGTGTATGCCTATAATGTGTGGGAAACTATGTTGTACTCTGTGAAATTTAATATCAAAGAAATTGTAAAAGTCACATTGACTAAGGGGAGTATGTTTGAAAGAGGGCAGCTTCAGAATATCAAAGTAATGTATCATAGCATTAGCACTGTGTGAACGCATTGCTTATGACGTGAAGGGAAGCTGTGACCAACTCTGAAAGAGCCACCCTTATCTTGATCCACAGAGGATTTGATACAGCTAATTTTATCATTTAAATAGCACTGTTAAATTTTAACTTTTGAGGTCATTTTAGTTCCATCTCAGTCAGTACATCTACTGTTGTCAAAGTAATACAGAAGGTTCTGAAAAGATTGCAATACAAAGAAGAACATTCCAAGGGCCCAATGACTGGTTGAGTCCATAATGCTCTAAGAGTTCAGAAGAGGGCCGGCCTGGTGGCACAGTTAACTTCATGCATTCCATTTTGGCGGCCCAGGGTCTTTGGTTTGGATCCTGGGCATGGACCTACGCACTGCTCATCAAGCCATGCTGTGGCAGGTGTCCCACATACAAAATGGAGGAGGATTGGCAATAGATGTTATTTTAGGGCCAACCTTCCTCACCAAAAAATAAAAAATAGACAGATTTTTAAAAAAAGAGTTCAGAAGAGTGTGGGACTGTTTACTGGGGAGGTCAGAGATTAGTGCTAGGAAGTAATGATAACCTTTCCATTTGTTTGCAGTTTTGCAATTTCATTCTTCTCCCCAGTCCCAGATACATATCATTGTTGATTTTGAGAAGCGTGGAATCATCAAGGAAATGGATGTCATCAATAAAAGGACAAAAAGAGGATAGAGCTGTGCTACACAAATAGAAAACTGCTTTCAGGGAAGCAAGACATCTAGCAGTAAGAGTCTTAGGTCTTAGAGTCACTGTCTTGTTGGATGCTTTTATTAGTTCCACTAGTTTTTTCAGTTATGTTGGATTTTTTAAAGACTTTTATTCTTTCTACCCAATATCTGTATCTCACATATCTTATCCCTTTCATTGTCCAGGACTTTCAGAATAATGTTGAACAGGAGCAATGACAATGTTGAACAAGAGAATATTTGTCTTATTCCTGACGTCAGTGGGAATGTCGCTGTTTCACTGTCAAGAATAACATTTGCTGCTGGTTTCTTACAGATACTCATTATCCAGTTAAGGACAATTGCTTCTATTTTTAGGTTAACAGGGTTTTTTAAAAAAATCAAGATTAAAAAAAATCAGCCTCTACCGAGATTTAGACAACATATTAAACCTTCCTTGTTATGTACATAAACAGGAAATACAGAGATGAAAAACAGTCCCTGCTTCAAGGAGCCTAGTCTTGTAGGGGAAAGAGACAAATAAAAATTGCTATACAGTGGGA